CAAATTATAGTTTTAAATGCTTTATAGTAAATAGTTTCATATTTTGTTGTACTTTGGCTGGTTCACTACAGCTGAGAAAGTTATGGAGCTTTGGCTATTCTATTTCTATATGGTACAAATATGGAATAGATAAATGCGTAAATAAATATAATAATGTATTTTGCCATGTATTTCAGAGTGGAAAATGTTTTAAAATATTTTATCTCCTATGCAACTGCCTAAGCAGCTCAAAAGATTTATTTATTTACTTGATTCACATCTCACTTTTTTCTTACATAGAACTCAAAGCAGGGTGACTGGAGCTGCCACGCAAGGTCTAAATTTTCAAATCAACTTGTTTGCAAGCGAATATTTACCATTCATAGCAGGCCTGGATGCCATCTTAACATATTTTATTTACTACATTTGTTAAATTACATCACTGCAAGTGACCCAAGGAGACTTATATGATCCTCTTTTACATTTTATTTTCATTTTTTAAAATAATATCCCTGTTTTTGGTACAAGGGGGATATTTTTGGTACAGGTCTGTGCAAAATCCGGGAGGAAAAACTGCCCCTTGAACCTTCCCCCTGAATTAAGGTATTTTTATCCCACTTCTCAGGCAAAAAGTCTTCCAGAATTATGTACATGCAATCAGTAAAGCAAGCCAGCCCCTGCATGCAGGGCCTCCTAATCTAAAAAGATATTACACACAAGGAAAAGAGGATGGGAAGGGAAGAGGAAAAAGTACGTTCAGTAGGTCTGCTAGAATGATCCTGCATCATCTCTCTTCTATCTCTATATATACTAGAATAGATCACCTATGAAGGATTCAGGATCCATAGGGCTGCAGCTTCCAAGTTATGATTCCATTCCTTCACTGATCTGAAACCTTTCATAAATTAATGTATGCTTTTCCAACTATAGGCTTATCACTTTGTTGAGTTTGTAGCCATAAAGACTTCAGATATTTCCTTTTCTTTTCCTTCCCCTAGTTTATTGTCATCTGTTATACTACTGTAAAGCTGTTAGTTTTAAAATCTTCTCCTCCAGCAGTACCATCTCTCTGTTTGTGTGTGTTTCCATTCTTTCCTTTAGCTTTTGTAAATTTCTTAGATTCCCCAACACACATGGAAAGGCACAGATAACTGTAGCCCCATTCAGGCATTCAGGACCTGCATAGAATTATTTATGGAAGTAAACTGGACTAGCTCTGCCCCTGGGGCCATAATGTTGATTGCCGTCAGAGCTTGTGGAGAGCCTCCATGGAGTGCCTTACAGAAATCTTTGCTTGGGCTTTTCCACCCTTCCTTGTGTCACAAGATGCAATTGAAACGATACAATTGGCACAGTTACCACTTGAAGTACATGAGATACTCAACACTGGGAAGGTGCAAAAGATCTTTATGTGCATCCAGCATTAAGTAAATGAAAACTGGCACTGGCACCAGTGTTCACCCCTTTGTTGCAGCGTGCCTGAATAAGCTCTGGTGCAAGGTGCTGCCTCCAGAACTCACACAAGCTGTTGAATGTGCAAGTCCAGTGCCACATGTTCTCAGATAAATTACACCCATTTCTAGAAGGACCCAGAGTTTGCTGGAGAGCATATCTAAACAAACAGCATCATTAAAAACAAGGTATTAAAAAAAACAACAACTTTGGGCTAAAGTTCTATGGAAGCACCAATCCAGGCTGGCTTATAGGACAAGTCCCAAATGGAGAACATCCATTGTTCCAAAATGGAAAGAATATTGCTCAGCCTCAAATCTGAAGTAACAAAACTGAGACAAATCCAGTGTTAAAGCCCGAGTTTGCGAAAAGGCCCATGGGTGACAGCAGACACGGAGAAAAAGTTTATCTGGCTTGATGAGACCAAAACTGCAGTGTTATGTTTGGCGCAAAGGCAACCGTGTTCCTTGTCTGGAGAACACCATCCCAAGGGTGAAGCAGGGTGTAGCAGCCTCACACTGTGAGGGCGCTTTTCCTCAGCAGGACTGGGAAATACGTCAGGATTTAGGGCAAGGTGGTGCTAAATGCAAGGCTGTTCTAGAGGAAGACCAGTTTCAGTCTGTGAAGGGCTGAGTAGGTCAACCCTAAATACACAGTCATAGTGGCATTGGAGCACTGTAATATCTTAGAATTGTTCAGTCAAAACACAGATCTTAGTCTGACTGAGAACTGGTGGTAACAGTGCCCATGCCACCTGACAAAGCTGGAGCAGTTTTAGCAAGGAAAGATGGGCTAACAGTGCAGGATCCAGATATGCAACACTGAAAGAAACTTACCCAAAAAGACTTGCAGCTGTAATTGCTGCCAAAGGTGCTTCTAGCAGGTATTGACTCAGGCAGGTGAATACCGATGCAACTGACTGCTGCTGGATTGATTTATTTTGCTTAACCTTTGTGCCACAATAAAATGTTTGCACCTTCCCAGCACTGAGTATCCTAGGTGCATCAAGTTGAAACAAGGACAGTTAAATACATTTCAATTCCAGGTCGCTGGACAAAAAGAAATGTGGAAAAGCCCAAGGGGGGAAAACACTTCTGCACAATTCCTCTACATGCAGGGCTCCCAAGAAGGTTGCAGAAATACCTCTTGTTTGAGACCATAGGTAAAATGAGGGTTCCTTCATATGCGCTTCTCCTGCTGCTACCAATGAAAAAGCACCATGTGATATTCCATCTTTCCCTCAACTGATTTTTTTAAATAAAAGAAAGAAGACAAAATATGAGAAAACATAAGGTTCCAAGCAGATGATGACATTGCCTTGACTTCCTGTAAACTTCCATCAATGAGTCAGGTAAAATTCTTAGCTGAAAAACCACAAGACTGCTTTAAAGCAGTTTGCTGTGTGCACTTGCTCTTAATCTGTTTCCCTGGGCCAGGCTAGAAGATTGTTTCTAATGCCCAGAATTTACCACTGAAAAGAAAATACTAAAATATGCAGGGCAAGTTCTATATATCATTTTTAGAGGTTTAATTTTATGAAGTGCTTTGAAATCTTTCTTGTGCTTGTTCTCCTTCAAATCCTGTGAGTTCTGCTGCACAAATGAGTAACAGAATGAGACTTCCAGCTCAACAGCCTGGAACCTGGATACCTGAAGGAGTGCTTGCTTCCGTATTTGCCCTCTCGCCCCTTGAGATCGGCAGCAGAGGCTCTCCTCCAGGAACCCTCCATGAAAGACATTAGGAGGCAAAGTCCCCAGAAGAGGGCTTTCTCTGCGGTGGTGCACCGCCTGTGGAATGCGCTCCTTAGAGAGGTCTGCCTGGCGCCGTTATTTGTTTTTCGGTGCCAGGCCAAGAACTTTTTATTTAAACAATATTTTAACAACTTGTAATATTATCTCTTGGTTTTAATCCTACAGCCAGGGTGAATCTAGATTTTATGTATACTATTTTTATGTTTATTTATTGTATGGAAGCCGTCCCGAGGCTTATGCAAATGGGACGGCATACAAAAACTCCAAATAAATAAATAATAAATAAATAAACCCTCTGGATGTTTGGACAGAAAAAATGTTCTACAAATCCCAGCATTCCCCAAGTAGCTGCACAGGTAGGCCCAGCATATATGAATGACCTGCCTATGTAGAAGACATTATAGCATAGCTGCCTTTTCCTGCAAGGCTCTCTTAACAGGGCATGCAGAAAGCCTTCTGGGCTGAATTTCTACCAATCACACAGCTGTTAAAAAAGCTGACTAAAAATGTGTCAAATGTTCATGGAGAGCAAACATGCAAATATTTTTAAATTAAAGAAAAAAAGAAGGCAAATGCCCATGCTGGTTTAGCCAACCTCACTCCTTCATGCTATGCAATCAAGCAATTTACTAAAGGTATCCATCACAACTGTCTTACATGGAACTCAGTGGACTTCCTAGTAAACTCATTCATTTCCCCTGCAGGGCTCCTTTTCTGTGCCTTCAACAACCATAGGACAAATGGAAATTCAAGTGTAATCTGATGTTTTTATAACTGTATTTGGCTATGCAAATGAGCTGTGACCAAGGTGATTTTGGATTTTGCCTCCTTGCACAAGCCCACTGGGTGGCTTGAAGCAAGCCACCGCTCTTACATGGCCTTCTTTATGCAACATGGAAGTGGTTAAGGATATTTTCCTGGAGACCAAGGCCAATTTCATCCAAGCCAAACCATTGTATTCCCAATCATAATCTATGGGTGTTAAAACTGGACAGCAAAGAAAGCTGGCAGGGAGAAAATGGTGCCTTGGGAACATGGTGCTGGAGGAAGTGCTGTGATAAGGGCGAGAAATACTGTCTACTCAGATCCTAGCTTGGCTAGCCTGGCCTACAACAGGGATCCCAAAAGGTTGGTGGTGGGGGGGGGAGCCCGATTCCCCCAGGAAACCTCGCATGATAGAAGACATCTCTCCATACACCTCCCACGAATAAATGTAAAGTATGTTATCTCTGGCCTACATTACAGGGCTGCTCAGTAGATCGAACCATTTTTTTATGCTTGTCACGTAGCGCCTTAAAGGTGCAGGATACTTTTAAGTTTGTACGCGTGGCAACTCTAGGAGTGGCGGCGGATGAGCTCGCCTGCAGAAATGCAACTCTATTCAGAAAAAAGAAAGGAGCTAAGAAGGCTGCTAGGAAGGAGACGACCACCTCCCTGACCCCTCAAGACCTCCGAGCTCTTCGCTGTGTTTGCCCAAACTCCAGCGCTGCCACGCTTCGCCTCGCCTCGCCTCGCCTCTCCTCCGCGAGAGGCCTTCGCGGCCTGGTGGTGTCCCTTTAAATCAGCAGGTGCCCGGCGAGGCACCGGGGCGGATCTTCGCTGCGCCCGCCTCCTCCCGAGCAGGTTCTCCGATCCTGTTCCTGGGACTCCGCCAGGTACCGGCCTGGCTCAGCGGCCAGATGTTGCAACCGCCACCCCGCGCTGCTGGCTCGCGCGGCGGGCTCCTCCGTCTCCAGCCCAGAGCGGAGCGGGCTTCCAGCAGCCCGCGCGAAGGAGGACGGGCCCCTCGGGGATGCGCTGCTGAGGCCGGGCGAGGTGATGGGGATGCTGCTGCTGCCTGGGGATCGCGGCGTTCTCCGGGGACTCTGGACGGCGCTCCTGCGCAGGCTGCAGGGCGAGAAGTCCTGGGCTAGGAAGCTCGACGAGATCAACCTGTTGCAGCAGAAGAGGTGAGTGCCCGCTCCCGAAGCTTTGACTCGGCCCAGGAGAGGTGCTTGGAATGTGAGGCGAGGTGTCGCCGAGCATGTGCAGAGTGCCTTTATGTTAAAATTAGTCGCTACAGCTGCAAGCATTTGGAGACTTGGGGGACATCGTGTCCTGACCGCGGCATGTGACTGGCCGCTGCTGGAGACACTTAGCCGGCGAGGCAATTGGCAAGTTCTCAGTTTTTGACAGAATCCGCTGAACGAGCTCCTGCGTTCGCAGCCCGTTTCAGTTCCTTGACATGCCCAGGTGGGGGCTTGTGTGCCATCCCTGGAGCGCAGCACTAAGAGAGCCCTGTCCTCCGGGGCAGGGAGAGTGCCCCCCAGTTCGCGAGCTGTATCCAGATCCCTGGACGGGAGGGGCGAGCTGTTCACCTGCAGACACTGCTGTATTCTGTGCCGTTTGCTCTCCAGGCGCCCTGAAAAAGCGGGACTCTCCTCTGTCATGCGGGAGGATCGGAGCAGAGGGCAACCGAATGCCGAAACGCTGGGGATAGATAGAGCGTGTGCATGTGTGACTTTCTCTCCACTTCCTCTATTTCTTTTTGAGTTTGTAGCAACTAAAAGTCCTTAGGAATTACACATATTGACACCTGTAGCTTTATCCAAAGTTCCTTAAAAGGCTTAGGGTGCAATTCTGTACATGCCTAGAAAGAAAAAAAGGTCTGCATTGGAGTTGTGGAACTTTTTTTTTCTTGTCTAAATATAGATTGCACTTAGTGACTGAGCCCTGGAACCTAGTTTTGATGCCAAGTACTCAGGGCTGGCATGTGTGAATTAGTAATGAAGATATGCCTCTGAGCATGTGCAGGTTGCATAGCCCTCACCTTTGAGTCACCATAAATAATAGCTCTTCCACATCTGAGGTTGGGATGTGAAGTGTGGCCCAGGCAAGATAGCTTGCACAGTAGCCTAATAAACTACTGGTGTAGATCAGCAGTGGTTCAAGTTATACTATTACTGCAGGATCTAGTCACTCAAAGGCTTATTGAAAGAGATAGTACTACACAGAACATATCCTGATAACAGCACTTCTCACTGTCAGTGGGGTGAACAGCTGAAGTAAGTACCAAAACTGAGATAGAAAAGCAGGGATTCAATAGGAATTCTGCTTGCAGCTGTCTGGATCTTTCTGCCCCTGTGATATCCTTCACCTCTAGTCTTAGACTAGTGCAGACCAGTGAGGATGTGTGCGCTTAGTTATGGCCATGCATGGAGTGGGGTGAAGATTTGCTGCCTTTTTCTGGAAAGCACACCTGTCCCCTTTGGGACTGCCCTGAGAGACACATCTTTAGCAAGGCCATGGAAATGTCTCAGCTGATGGTGCAGATCATGCCTTGTGGGGTGATGCAGTAAGATGCTGCTCATTGTACGGGATAAGAAAGAAAATTAAGGAGAATCATGCACAGTGACTTGTGAGTGGAATGAGTTATAACTTGAAAAGGTGCAATTTTGCATTGACTTTGCTGGGCCAAGCCATGGTACCATTGTCAGCAAGACAGCATGAAAGCATGCGCTTGGCAGCATTGAAAGTGTTATTGCTAAAGTTTAGAAGTGTTGGTGGTAGATCCAGGAGCTGCCCCTATGGATTGAGTAGACATTTCAATGGGTGTAGGGTGGGAGGAGAAAGTACCAGAAACTGCAGCAGGGCCGGAATGGATCCTTTAACTGCTTCTTACAAAGTCCAGACTGAGGAGAGGCAAAAGAATGTGGGCTAATCTCTACATCAGCATGCCTGTTTCAGCTCCAGCCTGTCAGAGCCAGCTGCTGGAGTTGCCAGGTCTCCTGAGGCTCAGACTCTAGGATTAGAGTGTAGAACCTGGGAGTTAAACTGGAGTGTGCAGCAGATCAGGGGCAGCCCGGTCCAGCACTGATGGTGACACTTTGCACCTCAGGATGGAGCTTGGTGGCCACAGCAGTTAAAATAATGTTACTACCACTGCTACTACAACCATAACAACTCCTCTAATTCTGACACCTACAGCTACTCTAGCCGAAGAATGGCTGCTGACCATTCAAGGAAGGACTCTCTCCTTATTAGGGTAGGGCGGCTTGTGGCCCTCCAGGTGTTTTGGCCTGCCACTCCTGCACTCCTGGCTCTACTGACTGGGGCTGATGGGGATGGTAGCCCAAAGCATCTGGAAAGGCCACATGTAATCTACCCGCCCCCCCCCCCACTGCATTGGGAGGACTGTCCATTCCAAGCCCATTGAAGGGAAGAGGGGCAACTATGAAGTTCCCCAGTTATCCCCTGGGCAGCAAGTGGCTCAGTTGCTTGGATTCTTAATAATGTTTTCCTGTTTGAGTAACAGTAATTATGTCCACATTTGCATCTACAGGTACACATCAGCACGTGGAGATTTGATGCAAATATGTGCCATGTTTTGGTGATGTTCAAATGGCCGCCCTTGGCCTCGGCCTAATATACTTATTCAGGCTGTGCTCAGGTGTAGAGGCTTCAGCTTAAAGCAGGTGGAGCCAAAGCATTTATGCACACACACTGCCCCCATTTGTCACATTTGCACAGGATGGAGTGCCCTTTGAAATATCTCATGAAGAGACACAGAGGATATAAAACCTCAGTTTATTATATTTATATCCTGCCCTTTCCTTTCAGGGAACTTGAGGTGGCTTACATAATCCTCCCCTACTTCTCAGTCTTCTCCTCACAACAATCCTGTGAGGTGGCCAGGCTGAGAGTCTGTGACTGTCTCAAAGTGATGAGCTTCATTGCTGACGACGGGACTAGATGACAAGTCTCAGTCCCACGACACCACCCTAGCTCACTGAGACAGGGAGGCCATCTGTCTTCTTCCACAGAGGACAGTCCTCTATTTGAAGGGCTGCCCTTGAACAACTGAGTGAACAGGCAAGCACAGATTTCACCTAGTCATTTTTTACATTGTGGTGATATGTTGCTGTGTTTCCTGTTGCATATATTTTTTTCTAAATTTGTGTTTATACATAAGCATTAGTGTATGCAAAGTTTACACAAATCACTAGCCTCTTTGTCTCCTCTTCCTTCTTGTGTCATTTGTGACACTCCAACTGAAGGTCCATGAGCTGCCATGTTGTGGCTTCTTGGACACTGGCCACACCCCTCCACCATTTTTGCCCTCAGCAGACATGGCAACTCGGAAGACTGAGATCCTGGTGGGATATATTTGGCTTAGGGAGTTTCAGACTGTGTGGGTTATTACTTTTAGGAGCAGTTGCCAAAGCACCGTATTCTCTTTATTTTAAGAGTCACTGCCTACCTGCATTTATTGTGTGTGTTTTCACAGTTGGGGACTGTGTGATCGATGTGCATCGGGAGCTGGTTTGGTGAAGTAGGCAGAGTGTTGGCATTACACACAGAAACTTTAGTCATTAAGCTTATTGTATGGCCTTAGGCAATACCTAGTTTGCCACTTTGATTTATCTCACTTGCTTGCTCTTAATGAAACTCCAGCACCATCAATGCATTGTGACCAAGATTTATTCTGTGCATTTTGTGCAGCTGAGAATATGGAGTGAAATAAGGGACAAGGTTGTTTCTTAAAGAAAATTGCTAAGAAAATGAGATCTCCATAACTTTATACTAATCAAATATTACTAGGACCAACTGCTTGACTTCTTAGAGGTATTGGATAGCTAATGTTCATATCAATCTGGCTATACATATCAAACATATCAATTAATGTACTTACCAAACCTTGAAAGCTTTGACACCCCCCCCCCAAATAAATACTGCTCTTCAGTACCAATGGATCTGTTTTGCTCATATTTAGTACCAGTGGCTTTTCTATATGGAGAATGGTGACCCTGTTTCCTTTTAGCTGCTTCTAGTACCCACTGAAGACTGTAAAGACATCAGCCAGAAAGGACAGAAATAACTGCTTATCTTTTTACAAGGAGGATGCAAGAAACCCTTGTGCTGTCTTTCCTCAGACTTCTTAATAAAGAAAGCTGGGGAATGCTGAGACACTGGGACAGAATGCAGCAGCAGGAAGAAAAATTCTGTTCACCTGAGCTCAGAAAGTGTGGGGAGTGCAAAGAGACAGCAGCTGTTTGCTTCTGCAGTGCCCCCAAGTTCTTTGGGTCTGTGCCCAACTGTGTGGAAATACGTGCTCTTCCCTACAAGGTGCTAGAACATGTGTCTAACTTTACTAAGTCAGCTGAAGATTTCCATGCAAGATTTGGCCTGTGGACCCCACATCAGCACTTCAGCAGGGGGGCAGAAGCTTCTTGATTATCATCCCACATTTTGGACTGACAGAGAGTTCTCAAACCAGATTTCTTGCCTATGCTGACAGATGCTGTCTCTGTGGCCAGAGAGCTGCTGGCATCTTCAGCTGTGTTCAGTGCTCCTTTTGGGCCATAGCTGCAGGTTCACCAACACCTAGAAAGTACTGCTTTCATCCTCATAGTTTGCAAGACTTTGGCATACATTTTGTTAGTTCTGGTTGGGTCTATAATGCCATCTCATCTCAGGGTCAGCACTGCCAGCATGAGACATTTTCTGTCCCTTTCTACAATGCATTGCATCAAGTACATGTGTCTTTTGGACTGTGATTGATACATTTAGAATCTGGTTTCCTCACTCCCCATAACCTGACACTCCACCAGGTGCAGCTCTTTTGGCCACTCCAACAACATTGTGAGCTTCATGGATTTTCTCCTGATTGTTGGCAGGGTCAGAGGCATGGGAGAGTATTGCTGGTGCCTCAGGAAGCATCAGCAAACAAGTTCACCAGCAGACACACAGCTTAACTGTAAGTGATATGTTAGTAAGTGGTACGGCTAACAAAGTTGCTGTGCATGGTGGTGGCAGTGCTGCACTGTTGGACAATACAAGGCAGCTTTGCAGAGACCTTGGTTTTGCAGTCTCTGGTTTTGTACTAATAGCTTTCATTCTAGTACAACTGATTTCCCCCCAAAAATTGCCTATGCAGGAAGGAGATAAAGGGGATTAACAATTGCCAGAT